TTTTGGCCCACCCAGGAAGTGAGCCAAAGGGTGGCCTGCCACAGGATGTTTGTTGATCTTTCCACAAGCTACGAGTTGCGTGGCCCAGAGAAGGCAATGAACCCGAGTGTTGATTCTTGCTGAATCTCAGGCCACAAACTCCAGCACCGCCTCAAATAGGCGAAGGCTTCCCCCGAAAACCAATCTGGTCACAGCGGCCGAGCACTAGTTGCAGACCCTCAGAGCCCGGAGAGCCCGCCGCGAGGAGACCCGCGCAAGTGGCGCGATCACCAGCGCGATCGACGGCGGCAAGGGCGCAGCCGGCACAGGCGCAGCCTGCGCCGCCTGCACAGCCTGCGCAGCCTGCGCGGCCGCCGGCGCCCCCGGCGCCCTGGCGCTGCCATTTGGACATGGACTCAGGCGCGTGTGTTTGGTCGATTTACGAATTCCGGCCAGCCGAAGGATTGAGTCATGTGGCGTTGGATTCTAGAGTGACTCAGTCCCCTTGCAGCTGCAGCGCTTCATACTTAAACTGGACAGTTGTTTGTCGTGCTTCTGATTACTGCCTGCCAGGAATCAGAGCTCAGATATGTCAGATCTTAGGAGGCGCTCCCACCAAAAAACGAACGGTGCCAGCTTCAAAGGGGACTTGAGGGGTTTCTTGATGCCTGCAGACCTGGTTGATGCCAGCAGACACTTGAGTCATGCCTGTCCAGGTTGCTGGTACTACCACAACGAGGCTGCTCATTCTGCGCAGTGGCCAGATGGGTTTGGACTGGAAGCTTTTTTTTTGGAAACTGGAAAGCCAGAGGAAGCACATCGTTCCAGATTCTTGGGATGAAAGATTGAACATGATCATGGACATCTGTGGACATCCAGTTTATTGGCAAGTGTTGAAGCCTTCCGTCTGAATGGGTTGGAATCATTTTAACGGGTTTTCGCGTGTCGCAGCCAGTTGCTGGACTCCTCTTGAAGGAAACCAGCATGAGTCACCAACTTTGAGCGCCTAGTTTCAAGGCCCAGCCCTGGATGAGTTGATTTTCTAGAAGGCCCGACGGGCTGAGATGTCCCGTTTTTCCTGCTGAATCTTCACACAGCCTCCAAGAGACCAGGCCGGTCCGTAGCCAGAGGCGGAAAGCCTCCGCTGGTGAACAATTGGGTCGCGCCGAGTTTCAAAACACAGCACCCGCGTATGGGTTTGCCTTTTTTTTAGGGACCCCTTCCCCCCCCAACAACAAGGTGGTGTTCCTTGTGGTTTCCCTTTAAACGCCAACCAAACGGTTCTTTGGGACAGGCTCAAGGGAGCGAGCACAAGCCCATCCTCTAGATTCCTGGCTTCTAGAAGAAACCAACACGGGATGACCAGTGTTGTTTTACGCGCTACTCAAAACCCACTTCACAAAAGGGGGGCCGCCCTTTCTGAAAGACCAAAGGCCTGCAAACAGACAGCCGTTCTCGGGTTCTCTCCCTATGATACCGTCCACGTGCGCGACATTGAATGTCCAGCGAGGGGGTCTCCTTGGGTAAACACGCCCTTGGAGTGGGAGGGCAAAAAGCAAAGCCTCGCTCGGTTTTGGATCCCAGCCTCAGCAGCCTTGAAAATGAGCCCAGGCCGTAGGGTCTCTCTCGAGAAGTGGCGCGCAACCGGGTGAGAACTTGAATTGGGGGACGTTTGGAGAACGGTTCGCACAACCAGACAAGTTGGTTTGTCTCCAAGGATATGGAGCCCCTAAACTTGGTGGTTTCCCTTTAGGTTCCCTCTGAGCGGGAGCCGATATCAAAGTTGTTCCTGATGCAGATTTCGGGAAACTGCTTAAACTTCTGAGTGCAGAACCTCATGCCGTCCAAACCAGCAGCCTTTCTGCAATTCAGCTCTCGTCGACCCCACAAACGTTCGCCAAGTTCGTCCAGGGCAACCGTCAACCCGTAACACCTGGAAGCACCTGAAAACATGCAGAATCCGGGGAATGAAGCACTTGAGACATCGGTGAAGATGGCAAGTTTCGGAATATGCGTTCGTCAAGGTCGCACCTGACGCCAGGTCACAAACGTCACCGCCTGGGAGCTGTCGCTGGGCAGAGGGAATCTGCCTGGTTTGTTCTCAACTCCAGGGTTTGCTGGTATTTGTTTGTTTTTTCCTAGGTTTTATATTTCCATCCTGGACCTCACCAAGTCGTGGCAAATGAAATCACCCGATTTTATATTGTGTGTCTGGGGTGAGCTGCAAGTTGCAGATCTGTGGCAAAGTTGGCTTGCTGGCAAAAAGAATAGGGGGAGTGTTTGCAGCATAGGAACATTTGTGCTGATCTCTATGCTTCTCTTTCACTCTCTTCATCCGCAGGAGTTCCCGGTCGGACAAACGCTCTCCCAACAAAAGGCGTTCCTTTGCCTTGTCCAAAAGCGTCCTTGGCACTCCAGAGACCTAGGGCTCAATGCAAGGCCCACGCTGATGCGAGACCGGCCGCCCGCACCCCCGGCACCCTGGCAGCTGGTGGCACACAACTCTGGCAGGTGGTGCGCCAGTTGAGCAATCCGCAAGTGGATCCGCTCGGATGATTCTCCTTGCATCCACGAAACACCTTGAAAAAAGTCAAAACACCTCGTTTGAGTTTTCAACGGTTGACCTTTTGGTTTTCCTGTTTTGATCCATAAGAAAGTCACGACACCGAAAGGTGATCACCTCTTTTTGCTGGGCCCCTAAGGGGCAACGCAGGTACTACCACAACACCCGCACCAACGCCACCAGCTGGTCCCGGCCGCGCAAACTCCCGGCCGGGTATCCAAGTGGGCCATTTTAGGGACCGCTATTTTGAGAAGCCCCCATATGAACCCTCAAGTACACATCGTTCTGAGGTCCGAAAAAGCAACACGTACATGTGCCAGACGATTTGACATCGCCACTAGCATGCTGTGAGCGTGTGTGGCGCCCGCCAGTTTGTTGTTTTCTCGCCCAAAATCAGAAGCCCGAAATGCGAAGGCGAGAGAAGTTTGGGGATCTGCGGGCGAAGTACGGACACCTGCGTAGCTTGCGCGAAATCTTCGGAACATTTGTCTGGAGAAATGCGCACCTGAACCAGTTGGGTTTGTCCTTTGGCGCTTTGGACGCATTGGCTGTTCGCCCCAAAAACATAACACGTGCCAGATAGCGCCAGTGCCTGTGCCGGACCTGAGCGTGAAGCGTGTGTGTGTGTGTAGCAAAACAAGTTGCTCACTCTGTTTTGTTCTTTGTAAGGTGACCCTGCAAGAATTGAATGTTTTTTGCTCATATATGCATGGAATTCACGTCATTTGCGGAGTTGTCGTGGACACTCGGAAAACAAGATGCAGCTGGGGCCCAGTGCCTAGTCTAAGGCCCCCTTAAAGAGGTCCAATCCCGCGAGCTGAGGCGGCCCCGCCCTCATCCTCTAACCGCGTCAGGGTGTGCCGGTATTCGGGTTGGTTCGGGCGGACCATGTGAAGGCGATTTGCCACTTTACTGGACGTGACCCCAACATCTTTTCGCTCTGGCTTGGGGGATGGAGCAAGTAACAGATGCCAAGATTGTTACCATCTCTCGTCTGAAACCAGAGTGCTCCATCCAAAGGCTCTGTCGTTCCTGAGTGCTTGGACTTCGTCGCTTTTGTGTTTACCATTTTAGTGGTAAGCAAAAACTTCGGACTCTTTTGGGGGTCCACTCAGGAAACGAACCTGTTCTCCTGGGCCTTCTTTTCCTTCCTGGGGAGGCGCACCCAGCTCTTGCCGCAGTGGCCGAGGCTGCCAAGCGGCGATGTCGACCGCGAAGCCGAGGCCGCAGCCAGAGACGCGGCCCCAGCACGTAGATTTATGCGTGCTGCCTACCCAAAATAGTTTTTTAGACTGGGCCATGGGTACTACCCCTTCTTTGTTTGAATGGGTTTCCATGATACCTTGCCAAATGAAGCATGAAGCTAGACGATGGTCTTTGCCATGTTGTGAAGGGCATTGACGTTTGCCATTGGTCGCATCAAGACACATGAACCTAGAAATGCCGGTTTGACAGAGACGAGACATTGCATCAAGAGCAAATCCCGTGTTGATCACAGCGCCTCATTTCCGACTAATCGGTGTAGTAATTTCTCCCGGGAAACCACAACAAAATGCCTCACTGTTGATTTGTTCAATTCCAACCCCTATTTTCCAATCCCCCCTTGAAACACTTCTGGAGATTGGAGTGTGTGTGTGTGTGCGCGCGTGCCTGTGCCATGTGTTTCGTTGCCGAGGCCCACGTCAAACACGTTAGTAATTCACGCGGATCTTCGCGCCGAAATTCGCCATGCGGCGGTTGCATGGGCTGTCGGACAATGTTTGCAACAGACCCTTCAACGTCTATGGGAAGTTTCTGGCAACATACATCTAGAACGCATTTTCTCTTATTACACTAGAAGCACCAGGTTCTTCTTTCCGATTTCTGCTTTGCACGCGACACAAATTCAGCTAGATTCCAGACGACTATAGGAGAGAACCCTGGCAAACGTGTGGCAAAAAAGGCCGGCATCCAGCCCGTTGTTGCACTTGCCTCGCCGAGCTGGGGTTTGGCGTTTTAAAGGTACTTTTTTCGATTCTTGCAACGGGCCACGGTTCCCCTTTTCTTTCGCAGTCCAGCAGGTTAACTCTTTCCATGGGTTGTTGTCCCCCGAATGACTCGTTTTTCGTGGGTGGGGGCCCAAGAAATGGTCCGTCTCCTTTTGGTGTCCATTTACCCAAAAAAGGTACCCGCAAAAAACAACAACAACACCCATTTGATTTTCTCAGGAGGACTTTGTCGAGTCATTCTTTGTATCAACAGGCTGTGAAGTCTCGCCAGCTCCGCGAGATGGTTTTGGCAATGGCGTGCACATCCAAACCCCTGTGATATCTGTGATTTGCATGATTTGGTTCCCCCAAAGGATGTACTTACCCAAGGACGCATCTATTTATCAACAGAGCGATCTTGCGGAATGGCAATGAAACGACGAGTTGTGGCAAGCTTGAATCGTCAAACGCAGGCCCAGAACTGGTTCATTGACGCCCAGCATACGGACTGAGTCTTAGTAGGGGTAGATGATGGCGGAACACTGCGCCCCTGCAATTCGAGTGTATGAATTTCTCAAGGGCACGTAGAAAAGGGACTCGTTTCCGGTACCCACAGGTGAGGCTGGAGAACACATCTCTTATGCCGCAGCGTTTTAGATCGGGTCCCGATCCGGTCCGAGCATGGGATCGGCCACCTCGGTCGATGCTGGGGCAATAGCAGCTCACTTGCAAAGCGGCGACTGTCGGGGCTCCTTTGGGGCATGAGTTGCCTAAGGCATCCATGTTTTGTATCCATGGGTCTTTATGAGGGTTCACAACCAGAAGGACGACCCAAGATGGCTTTCATTCATGTTCTATACCCTTCCCCTTTTTGGGGATGTTTTAACAACGGGACCACCCAAAATGGGGGGGGCCCTGAGCAAAGATACGCCCACACGTCCTGAGAGCGCTCAGAAGTGAATTCTTACTACCCGAAGAAGAAAAACAAGGTTGCACAGCGGCAATCGTGAAGCCGCCGATCGCGCTGATCGCCTCTGACCTTCAGCAAGTTGCGGGAGAGAAACGGATCCATTCATGAGCTGTGGCCAAACATACGGGTTCGCATGAAAAGAGCAGCCCGGCGTTCTTCTAATTTCTGTGTCTTTGTCCAGAGGACCCCCCCAAAATGGTGTGGTTATCCTCTTGGTTTGCCTTTAAAGCCCCCAAAACAAGTGCCCCAAAAAAACACCCTCCCATATAGACACCTGCCAAAGATGGTTGGACAAAAACTGCATAGGGGACGAGAAGCCTGTGAGTGGCTCGTTGGTGCCTTTGGAGTGAGCAACCACGCTCGTGGGCATGATTCCCTGAGGTTGGGCATTCGACACAAAGCTGCCCAGATCAAAAGATCTTGCGCGGTCACCAAAAGAAGCGCCCTGTCGGTTCTGACTACAGACGCCATACAAAGACATAGCCATCCATCCCTCGCGAGCTTTGTTGCCCAATGACCGATGGAGACCTCAAGTGGGCCTGGCCTTGCCATTTTCCACTTGGTGTGTCTTTGGTTGTCTTTGATCTTCTCTTTTTGGGGGTGGTGTAAAGCACACAAGGCATGGCATAGTTCCCTATACATTCTTTGGCTTACATGGCCTTTAAAGGAAGGGAAAGGAGGGGTATGTTTTGCAGGATTTTTGTTTCGTGTTTTTTTTGGGGAAAGGGACACCCAAAGGAAAACCACCAAGCTGGTGACGGTTCCACCGCCGGGTTTCCTCGATCCTTCGTCCGGTTCTCAGGATCCACGGTGGCGAATGGATCGCGGCCTGCCGCTGGGCAGCGCCCGCGCCTTCAGGGCTTCCGGGCTTCGGGGTGCGGCGGGTCCTCAATGACACCACGACAACGCGTAGCCGGCAGAAAAAGCAGCAGCTTTTGACTAAGATGCTGAGATGAAGCCTCTAAACTTTGGCTGTGGGTCAAAACCGTTTTGGGATCCCATTTTGGTTGGTAGGTGAATTCACCCCTTTTCAAGGTTTCCCTCCAGCAACCTTGACACATCCACAGGCACAGAGCAGACTTCTCTTATCTTGGTGGCTCCCAGCCATCCGGTTCCCTAGCTTTTTAGCCTTTTAGCGTTTAGTGGTAGTTTCCATTTGACCCACTAGAAGTTGAACATTTAGCGGGGGATGTGAGGACAGCCCCTTTTCTGTTTCCCTCGAGCAACCATGACACATCCACAGGCACAGAGCAAACTTCTCTTAATTAGGATCCTGGAAGAAAGCCAAAGGGTCTACGTCGCCCAGCAGGTGCTACCTGATGACTTGTCTTAGGCTCCCAGGGTCGTGTTTCATATGTTCGCTTACGAATGCACGGCATGTTACAGTCCAGGGCCAGAGTGTCCAAAGGCTCACCCAGTGGTTCAGCGCCATCAAGGGGCTAAAGCTCACTGAGGACCAGGTTGCTTGTTTGTTCCAAGGCCCCAGCAGTTCCGAAGTTCCTTCTCGGCCACGAAAATATGTGAATTGGCGGAACCTGAAAACGCCCTGTGACGTTTTTGTTGTTTTGGTGCGGGCTGTTTTGTGGTCTGCCGGGTAGGTTCTGCGGCTCGAAACCTGAGCCCACCAAATGGGACTTCATACCTTTTGGGACCATGTGCAGTACCCAAAAAGTTGGACTCGGTGCCGTGCTTTTCGAACTAAGGGAGAACGCTTCACCTCGGGAAGTGAGTGTGCGGGAAAACATGATAGCGACCGTTGCTGGGTGAGCAGTTTGGGACCTCACCAGACCTCCAGGCAACAGTTCTTCTAACAGATGAATTCTCGGGTTTTGGGAGAGAAAAGTGAAGTCTCAGCTGTTGCCTCGCTGGCGCGAGCTAAACAAATCAATGAATCATAATCAACCTCGAAGGGTGCAAATTCGGTGTGGGTTACTTTTGTAGGAGCCACTTTTCAACGCCTGCGAGTCTTGGTAGGATATCCAAGCGTTCGCACTGAACTAGGAACATGCGTTTATTTGTTTGTTTGTTTGTTTGTTTGTTTGTTTGTTGTGTTTTGCTTATTTTGGCTTGTTTTGGAATGTGTGTCTTGTTTTGGCTTGTTTTGGCTTGTTGTCTTGCTGGCTGTGCTTGTTTTGTGTGTTTCTTTGGTTTGTTGGTTTGTTTGATTGTTTGTCTGTCTGTCTATCTCTCTGTCTGTCTGTCCTGTCCTGTCCTGTCCTATCCTGTCCTGTCCTGTCCTGTCCTGTCCTGTCCTGTCCTGTCCTGTCCTGTCTGTCTGTCTGTCTGTCTGTCTGTCTGTCTGTCTGTTTGTGTGTTTGTGTTTTGCTTGTTTTTTGTCTGTCTTTTTGCTTGCTTGCTTGCTTGCTTGCTCCCCGCGTCGAACTCCTTTGCTCGCCTGAGGCGGCCAGCGCCAATTCCTACTCTCAGCCGGGGCCTCTTTGGGACGCCACTAGATGGGCGTTACTCAAATTGCACCTTTTCAAGGGGGGGTTATCAATTGCCAAAAAACACATGCCGGAGTAGAGGATAACTTTCCAATTGGGGGTCTAACATTCCTTTTCAAAGGGCGGGGGGGATCAGTCATGCTGCATGCTCCGTAACTCTTAGGGCAACGAGGTTTTATGCAACCTCACTTAGGCAATGGTATGGGGGCGGTTCAATTCCCCCAGGTGTCACCGGGACTGCTCACCGTGGTCCGGTATCATGTTCCCCCATTGCCCCCAAAATGGATGTTGGTTTTCCTCTTGGCCTCCCTTTCAAGCCACCCAAAAAGGGTCCGATTCCTTCTTTGAGACACGCACACGCACATTGCCAAGAAGTTCTACGTTGAGCCACAATCAAAGAAGGCTTTGTGACCAGGGTACCACCTTTTGACCACAGGGTAGACTTACACCCAGTGGTTCACTGCCCCCGACAGCCTGTTTGTGCTTGTTTCCTCACTTGTCCAAAGCGAATCGACCGTTTGACCTTTAGGTTTTCCCCGTTTCGGCCCATTTTTATGGCCTCAAAGGCTTGACCTTTTATAGCTCCTTTGGACAAGTGAGACTATCCTGGTCCGAATCGGCCCAAGGTCTAAACTTATATGGGCGATGCGATCGCAGCATTCTGTTCAGCCGCCATTTTTCCGCTGGGTTGGGACAGAATCAAGATTCCTGCATTCAAAATGGTTTGATGGATACTGTGGACGGACCATCCAATGGGTATGGGTCAAAATTAAAGCACCAGGAATTGGACCGCAGGTTTTAGTCAATTTTTAGTCCTTGTGTCCATTTACCAGGATTCAAATTGGGGTACCTATTTGTGACCCACACCCCAATGGATGAAACTAGGGTCATATTGCCCATGAAATCCAAGCGCTGCGAGATGGATTGTCACCGGAAATCCGAGCAATCTGGGGCCTGGTACAGCTCAGGAGCCATGCGCCATATTTCGGGTCGCCAGGCGGGGTCTGCGCGGGGGGGGGGGAGGGGGGATCTCAGCCCTGAAAGGTTCTCAGGGGTGGCTGCGTGTGTGTGTGGGTGTCCGTTTTTGGATCCCTTTGGGATGGGTTCCAAGGGGAGATCAACAGGACAACCGAAGCCATTTTTGGGGTCCGATTCCTGGGGGACACACCCAGCGGTCTTCATGTCTCTAAGGGATCATCATGCAAAAGTGCCAGGAAAGGGGGGAGTCCCAAATTGACCAGTGGGAATGTCTCCTCTCGCGGAGTGGGAACAAAGGCGAAGACTCTAGAACCAACAAAAATATTTTCTTGCCACCACCTTTCTGGCCCTGGTTTTCCATGATACCATCATTCTAGAGTCCCCCATTTACGCTACAACCTCCACAGCCAGCTGAGGCCATCATCGCTTTGCCCGAGGCTGAGTGCAGCGAGCGAAGTTGGCTTTCAGGAAGGTGGAACCCCTCAAAGCGGACTCCACAGCTGTTGGGTGTGTGTCTTTCTTGTAGAGCACCCTCTTTGGATGTGGTGCAAAGGGAAATCAAAAGAGAACTACGCATTTGTCGGGTGACACACCCATATAAAGAAGGGAAGAACGGCCTTTAATTTTCCCATCAGTGGGAGGGGTTTTGGGGGCTCTCGGAGGACAGAGAGAGAGAGAGAGAGAGAGAGAGAGAGAGAGAGAGAGAGAGAGAGAGAGAGAGAGAGAGAGAGAGACAGCGCGAGAGAGACCAGTGGGTGCGATCGAGTCATATCAGCCGTTCCACTTGTCACTGCAATTCGAGCCTCAAGGACACAACTATATGTGTATACATATTTATGCAACCGGTTGCAGGGACCTGCCTCTTGGTTGCCTCTCTAGTGCATGATTCGCCCATCTAGTACTGGAAGGAACGATCTCTCAACTAGGACCAGGACATCCAGGACCAAATGAGACTAGAACCCAGGATCTCTCAACTGGGACCAGGACCAAACTAGGAATAGACGACCCACCTCAGATTCTTACACAAGTCTTCAATTATAACTTCCTCTGCAACGTCCTGTATACTTTCTATTTATTGCAGTAAACTAGGGAGCAACCTAACACTAGAACCAAGGATCTCTCATCTAGGACCAAACTAGGACTAAACCATTTAATTCTACTTCTTATAGTATTTGGATGCCAAGTATTGCATTATGGTGGAAAGAAAGTCCTGTTTAATATTTAACCAATATGTTATATTCCAACTAAATATGTAAAGTATGACTGGTTATTTTCCTTATTTTAAGTTCTACTGTTCAGCTAGCAGTTGCATAGAACTTAATCAATACATTAACTACAATTCATAAGGAACTTCCTTTGTAATGTTCTCAATGCGTTCTATTTATTTCAGTAAGCTAGGACCATACTAGGCTTAGAACCAAGGATCTCCCAACTAGGACGAGGACCAAACTAGGACTAGGCCGCCTAACTCTAGTTCTGAAAGTAATTTCAAGTACTATTGGACGGGAAATCGTTTGTACAATTTAATTTGACATAGAACAATCAACATTTAAGTTCGAATCTAAAACGAAATTTTGGCTGGAGTATGTCCTTCTTAAGCTCCATTGAATTTCCATCAGAAACAAGGTCGAATTTGATAAAGCATACTAAGTGGAATTCATAAGGAAAGAATCCAAAGGTCCCAAACCTGTGTCTTTCACTAGCCCTAACACTACCATGGTCAGACAACACCGTAAAACACAGTGTCGTGTAGCGTTTTTCATACTCAATTCACATCTCCACCAACGAACGCTCTCTAAATGCTCATTTGAATTTGAACACTATTTAATTGGGACTCATTACGGAAATATTTGGTCAGAATCCTAATGGTAATCAAAATCTGAAACTTCGAGTTTAAATAGAGTTCCTTTCCCAATATATACTTGCAATTCAATTAGAGCTTTACCAGGACTTGATCGGAAAGAACCCAAGCCTGTATTCAAAACAAGAAACAATACTCTCTAGACAAGTCTGTTTTGCAAACGCGAGTCCAGGCCCGAGTGAAGCCCATTGAAACAGACTGAAATTTCAGTTGCCCCTGGGTTCAAGATTCCGTAGAAAACTTTGACCTACAATCTTGAATGTGGGCCTAGATTGAAACAGATTGAATAATCAGGACTTAGATGCTTGCACAACACTGTGCCAAAGTACAGCCGTGCAAAGTGTAATGTTGAATTTGGGTCTCGATTTAAACCGATTTAAACCGATTTAAGTTTAACTCGGGCATGGATTCAAGATTCAAGATTCAAGAATCCAGGCCAAGCTTTTCCAGGGAGTCTTGAATCTTGAATCCATGCCCGATTTAAGTTAAATCGGTTTAAATCGAGGCCTGGATTCAAGATTCCCTTGAAAAGTTTGGCCTGGATTCTTGAATCTTGAATCTTGAATCCATGCCTGATTTAGATTAAATCGGTTTAAACCGGTTTAAATCGGTTTAAATCAAGCCTAGCTTCCAGAACATCCTTGGAAATGCTTTTTTTTCATTGCTCTCCCCAAAGCCAAAAAAGGCTAGAAAACACCGCAAATACCTGTGAATTCTTCAAACAGGTAGGTCCCTGGGAGAGGGGGGTACCATATTTATGTATATACTTGGTGGTTCGAGCCATTCGGTTCCTTAGATTTTTACGTTTCAGGGTGTAGTGATAGTTTCCACGAAGCCACTAAAAGCTAGACTTTTGGCAGGGGATCAGGGAACAGCCCAGCTTATATATATATAGACTATCTACAATGGAGTTATTGGATAGTAACGACTTGGTGCAAAAGACAGATTCGTCAAGCATATCCGCAATGCGGAGCCACCGCTTTTGTATTTGCGTTGGGCTTACGACAGCAAGCGGCTCATTCCGGGCTTATCATTGTATCTGGTTCATTGGGAGCCCGAAAAGTGCGGAGAGCTTTCTTGAGAGGTCTTTATCACTGCCTCAAAGGCAACAAGCAACCCGTCGGGGCAGGCTGGATCAATGCCCTTGGATGTGTGCCAGCCGGAAAGTTGCCTCGAACCTTCCACTTAGGTGTTGTGTTGCTTTCCTTGGTCGCTAAATGCGCCCAAAGCCGCGGATTCCGGAAGTGTGCAACCGGAATCCAACTGAGGCCGATTGGCCTGACGCACCCGGAGGACTGACATACTTGCTGGTGCGATAGGGGAGTGACCGAGACAGGGTGGAGTGTTAGAATGAGGCGGTTTTGGAGAATTGAACCACCACTTGAATGGCTTTTCCCGGGGGTCGTGCCCCAATTCTCATTCCCTGAGAACCAGCCAGCAGGACAAGCAGAAGAGAACTCGGGCATTGGCAAAACGGTTGCGCTCAAATGCCTCAAATGTATTATATATATACATATATATATATATGTGTAAGTTAGTTAAAAGCCCGTCGCATCGCACCTGTGCCTACTCAAAGTGAACGCTTAATCAGTTTTTTTTTCAAGCTCAGGGTCCATTTCCTGAGAAGCTTGCACGCGGGCCTAGAGGAATCTTCGGCTGGCGGCAAAGTTCGTGGGTTGCCTCTTCTCAAATGTGCACTGCGTTGCCCAAAGAACAGCAAAAGGACAACCATGGGCAGCCAGGGGCATCCAGTCGCGCCTTTTGCGACTCAATTCAGTGCAGTTTGGGTAGGTGTACGAGAATGAGGCTGACAAAGAGACTGAATCAGGTTGAACATGTGCTTCGCGCTGCAGGATCAACCACATCTCAAAACCAGTATGTCGAGAAGAGCTCAACAACTTGAACACACCGCCCTGGCAAAACCACCCCAAAATAGCCAAAGACACCAACATGAAGCCGAATAAGATTTGCTGCATATATGCTAGGTGAACTAAAGTTATACCCTTGAGGGTCTTGTTTATGGTTGATGGGCTGACAGTTGGGTCCAGCGGTTCCCATGAAAAGGGGGAGAGGGCGGGGGATACCCAAACGAGCTACAGAAACAGGGCTCCTTAAATGATACATGTTGCCCAATTGAAACATATATTTTTCCACCGAAATGAAGGGAAACCAACATTTACAGGGCAATGTTCAGGTGTATAATGTAAGGATCCCTGAGAAAGTGACAGTGTTCCTTGCTCACAGAAAGGCCCCTCGCCGCGAGCTTTCTGGCCTCTCCAAGCTGAAGGTTCTGATGCTTCTTGAACCCTATGCCATCAAACAAATGCGGCAGCTTCACGCCCAATTGGGTTCTGCTTTTCCTTTTGTTTTTTTAGGTACCCCATTTTCAGGTGGGAAGGGACGTCAAATAGAACCAGAAAAGCCCCGTTTTGGGAGTCCGCAAAGCTTCCTTCCGAAGCCAAAGCCGTGAAAATCCCCTCGCGAATCAGGAGACCCGTGGCGCTCGACGCGGCCTTTCGGAGGCGACCCAGCGGTTTAGGGGATTCCCGAAGAAAGGAAACCAAATGGGGGATGGTTTGTCTCCGCGTCAACCCAATTCTCATTCCCTGCTGAGAACCAGCAAGTGATTCAAACCGTGCGTTCTTCCATGTGCTTCCTGCCTGTTGTTTCTTTGGAGGTTTTTGTTTGTTCTCAAGTCGCGAGTGGAATTCGACTGGTAGTGGTTTCGCTTGGTCCCTTCCCAGGGCACCCTGCAGGTTTTTGGTTTGTCTGGCATGATCCGAAGCCGGCCTTGTCGCACGACCATTCTTCTAGAACTTCACTACAAGCCGTTTAAAGGCAGGCCCGCGTGAGCCTGCAAATTGATGAGGGGTGGCTCTTTTATTGGGGGAATGACATATTGCCGCTGCACCGCTTCTTGACGAGAATAACAACTCAGAACATGATTTGTCACTGGTGGTTGTGTTTTCTTGGTTATTCAAGAGCAAACAAATGTGCCTCCTTAGGGTGTTTGCGCGTCGCATCGGCAGGCAGAGATCCGGACGAGCGCACGCCATCCTCTTTCCGCTCAGGAGCACGACAGGATGGTCATCTCCCACTGAAAGCACCAAGAAGTGGAGGAATATACCTGGAGTGCGGGTGTTGGGGATGTGTTGTGTGACAAGTTGCAAGCATTGAAGCTGTAAATCTACATCCCTGTGAGCACCCCTTCTGTTTGCCGTGGGTCAGTTCCATCGGGATTCCTTCTATTGATCTTGTGGAGGCCTGGACTCATTGTGGGAGCTGGGGCCAAAAGTAGGCGCCCTGTGTTTTGGACGCTGGTGTCATGGCGCCCAAAGCATTTTGAGCTGGATTTTGAGTCTTCTGTTCACCCCCACCCCAAAAAACAACAACAACAACAACAACAACAACAACAACAACAACAACAACAACAACAACAACAACAACAACAACAACAACAACAACAACAACAACAACAACAACAACAACAACAACAACAACAACAACAACAACAACAACAACAACAACAACAACAACAACAACAACAACAACAACAACAACAACAACAACAACAACAACAACAACAACAACAACAACAACAACAACAACAACAACAACAACAACAACAACAACAACAACAACAACAACAACAACAACAACAACAACAACAACAACAACAACAACAACAACAACAACAACAACAACAACAACAACAACAACAACAACAACAACAACAACAACAACAACAACAACAACAACAACAACAACAACAACAACAACAACAACAACAACAACAACAACAACAACAACAACAACAACAACAACAACAACAACAACAACAACAACAACAACAACAACAACAACAACAACAACAACAACAACAACAACAACAACAACAACAACAACAACAACAACAACAACAACAACAACAACAACAACAACAACAACAACAACAACAACAACAACAACAACAACAACAACAACAACAACAACAACAACAACAACAACAACAACAACAACAACAACAACAACAACAACAACAACAACAACAACAACAACAACAACAACAACAACAACAACAACAACAACAACAACAACAACAACAACAACAACAACAACAACAACAACAACAACAACAAGAAACAAGCAAAACCAGCAAACGGTGTCAGTCTATTTTCCTTGGTACCCTCGGGATGGTCTAGATTGGACTGGAGGTGTCTTTGCCGAGGCTTCTCTTTTTGAAGTGGTTTAAAAGGGCAATCACCAATTTCAGGTGTCCCTGTTCACAGGCAATCCTGGTTCTTGTTGGTGTCTGACTTGCTTCCAATCAATCCATCCATCCGTCCATCCCTCCATCCATGGATCGATCCATCCGCACGCCAGCAAGCAAGGCAGCAAACAAGCGAGCAAGCACACCGGCCAGGATTCCTTTTTCCCTTCCGTAGAGGTCAAATACAGGCAATCGCGGACAATCCAAATCCTGCGCCCAACCCATTTGACAGGATTCGAACGGGAAGCACGGGGAGATGCATTTCAGCCATTCCCGTCTTCATCGCTTGGATTTGGTGGCAACCTGAGGTTCACGACCCCTACCAGCTTGCACTAGTGCCGAATGAGCAGAGAGTGTTGCCTGTTCATTCACTTTAGGTCCTTTGCGGAAGAGACATGTGGAACATTTTCCGAGTGGCATATCATTGCCGATGTCAGTGCTTCCTAAAGCTGGACACCCATAGATGCCATATACCATTCTCGGCTGGTCCCTTGCTAGCTGTGTTTACCCTGTGTGTGGCTGGAATACTTGAATTGACTGGGGGCGGATGGACATAATCTCCATGAGCATGATTCGCAACACAGAGTCGCCCCACCGTGAAAAGATTGGCTTGCTTGGGGTTGGGAATTGTCATGGACTCTTCAGGGATTTTAGACAACCACTGTGATTGAGGCAACCATGACCATAGCCGCAAGGAGTTTTGACCATTTCACATGTGGGGGTTGATCAATATTCCTGGGCCCAAAATGACCATGGCTAAGTGTTCCCACGAAAGTCATCTCTTTTGTTTTCTGGTTTCCCTAACTCGATCCATGTAAAGGACCTTTTGATCACCCTGCATGCGCGGAGTCAACCCCCGGAATAGTAGATGCTCGGCATCTGTTTTCTTGTAGTTCACGGCCGAAAGTTTCTATTACCCGCCCATCTAAGATGGAACCTGACGTTTCGGGGGGGGGGGGGGGCCAGGAAGACCACGAAACCCCTTTTCAAGTGACCGGGTCGTCCGCCATGTTCGCCTGGTGATTCAATCGTTTTGAGGTCGTGACCTTGAGCCGTTTCACTCAAAGCCGCTGGCTCAGAGTTGGCTAGTCACGAGGGGTGACAAATGCCCAAAAGGTTTTGGCGCGTTTGCTGCCGGGGAAATCGAAGAAATGCACATCCAAGAGGCGTGTTTTTTTGGTCGGGGGAGACAAACCCAAATTAATTGTTGGTTTCCTTTGGCCTAGCTAACACCCCGAGGGTGCTGTTTGGTTTCGTTTGAACTCCTACCGAACAATGCACCCAAGTTCCGTCGAATGGGGAGCAACCCTGTGGAGCTCAGCTGATGTCTGATTCGAAGACTCGGCAGATCGACCCATCGATTCAGCCTCGCAGTCTTGGATTAAGGTTCCAACAGATCAGCCGATTCAGTTCATGTTTGGGCGAATTGCATTCCCCTCAGGTTGAGAAAAGTGCGCTTAAACATGTGCCCGACACCTTCTTGTTGCAGAGCCTGCGTATGCCTTTGTTTCTATCCGTTGTCGGGCACCAAGCCCAGAACAAAAAGAGGGCGCCATTTGGCAGGCGACTGCCACGCACGTCACATCCGAATGTACGCCCCTGGATCTGCTTCGCGGTCTACCACTGCCACGGTTTGTCTAAAGCCGGAAAAATGGACATGTGACATGTATGTCTCAGAATGTGCCAAACGCCTGCGCAGTGAACGCGCACACGCGTCTCCACGCCTGCCGAGTGCCAAGCACACCGCTCAAGTGCACCCGCTCGGCACTGCACACACACACGCCTGCCAAAGCACGCCCGCTGAAGCGCTGTAGTTAGTTTGTTTTGGACTACAAATTTGCGCGGGGGCCGGGCGCTAGGGACTGCCTGAATGACTTTGCATCGAGGTGTTTGAGCAATGGTCATCCCACCAGGGGTTTTCTGGGATCGAGGGCCAGCATCAGGCCAATAGATGTCAGGCAACACACGTCCAGTGCTACTTCAAAGAGAGGGTGCCCCGGACCATCAGCCATTTGTTCAATTCCCCCCACCCATCCCCTGCGCCAGCATTTGGCTGCTGAGCGCGCGCTGGAACCCTCTTTTCTGGAAAGAGGATCCCATTGCTTCCATTCACTTGTTTTGGTCGGCAGTCAAGGTGGAGACCGTCAGAGGTAAAGCACAGTTGGCAAAAAACGCATGCTCACAGAATTATCCCGGGGGGGGGGGATCCCGGCATTTAGCCAACAAATGAAGGCTCCTGCAACCCACGCGCCATTTGGGTATCGGAATCCTGAGCCATTCGGAGTTGGGTCTCAAACTGGGGCTCCAAATTCCGAAGCAAGCCTCGTTGAACACCCACACGCACACACCCAGTCAACAACTTCATGGGTTGCATTCCGGATTGGGGGCTGTCCTTTACCCAATTTGATGTTCAGAATTTGTCCTACTTGCCGGTGCAACACTGAGCCTCGAATATGTTCAATCGACCAAGCCATGTTGCCGTGGAAGTGGCGAATGCTGGCCCTTAGCTGGCAGAAAGAAGTGGTCGCCTTCTGGCCCAGGAAAAAGAAAACAAAACAAAAAAAACGGTTATCTCAAGTGATCCGCTCCGAAGGACGCCCAGTTTGGAAGAGTGTTGGTGAGGGTACCTTTGGGGCGGTTTGAGAGGGAAACAAAAGGATAGCCACTCCAACTTTCAGGAAATAATTTAAGCCACACCCATTTGGTGCCACTTGTCGCAACGTTCGAGCAGGTCTCGCTTTACCTACGACCGCACCTTAGACAGTTTCTCGACCGCCAGTGCGCCATTGATTTGGATGTCTTCGAGTTTCGAGTAGTCGGCTGGATTCTGGTGACCCCAACCACCGGACGGGTTTGAGGTATTCCTTCCGTTACTCCATACCATTGCCTTGGTGACCCAAACAAATGTCGAGCAATCGTTTGATTCTCCTGACCCAAATGGTGTGGCTCAATTATTACCTGTCATGGGATTCTGGTGACCCAAATGGTGTGGTTCTCGAAACAGTCATGCGCGCCTGGATCGCCAGTTGCGTTTTTTCTTCTTTTTGTTTCTTCCTTTTTTCCACGCACTTTAATTATCCCAAAAAGCCAGCAACAGTAACTGAAAAAAAACAGCAACTTGGCTATCAGGGCGTTGGTTGTTTTCTTCGCAGGTACGGCGGAGAGCCCGGGCCGGTTCCCCTCCTTGGGCAGCCCCAGCTCAGTGCTGGGCTCCAGTCCCTTGAGCGCCACCTGCCGCGACCTTGGGGGCTCTTTCCCAGCGGTGTGAACCTCGGGCGAGCCAGGAGTGCTGCAATCCTTTGTCTTCTTGTTTGTATAATGCTTTTGTGGTTTAGATCAAACCCAATGCAAGGTGCTCCTATGCCTCTCTCTTTTTTAAGATATTTATACGTATATTCCAAATAACCATGTGTGTTGGGTGTGTTGAAGATGCTCATGCTTTATGGCCACAACGAAAAGAAGGCAACGGGGACTTCTTGTGATACTAGGAAATTGACCGCCGGTACCACGAGCTTGCGCCCATGAAGGTATGGATGCTTTACTCGGAGATTTCGATCCGGATGCCCTTCAGTTGGAATGTCTATAATTTAACGTCGCATTGGACGTTCAAAAGCACTCCCCTAGATTCCCAAGACCCTATGATTTGAGGTCTGTTGGGGTCAAAGGCCCTCAAATAGAAGGTCTTGGGATCCTGGCTCTCCTTGATTATCGGAAGGAAAAAAAGAAGAGAGATACAGGCTTCCTTTCTGCTGATTTCGTGATTTCCCCATGGAGAATGCACCGTGTCCATGTGATGCATACATGGAATCCTAGGCGTTGCTTTTCCTCCGCATGGAACCATGGATAAGCTACGGGCCAGGGCAAAAAAAGCAAAGCGTCTTCTTTGGCTTTCAGTGTTCCATCAACAGCGGTGTTACAAAATTAGGGGATCCCCAAATGCATTTCAGTTTTCCTTGCGGTGTCCCTTTAAACCAACCCAAATTAGGGAACCCCCAACATGCATTTCGGTTTCCTTTTGGTTTCCCTTTGAACAACCCCAAAAGGGCTTCCCCTGCAAAAAGGACAAGCCCGTGTATCCTTTCCGCCGGCCATCGGAGCAGAGTTTCGGGTTTCTGATCGAGCGATTGGTACCTTTCTCTTAAGTGGCACGGACCTATATCAGGGGTCCCATATTTCCCTTATTGGTGGTTTTGAACATCACCATTTGGCCCATGAAAGGTGATGTTTATTGGTGGCGGTGATGTTGTGAGGGAAAGTATACATAGAGGGAGCCCTGTGTATCTTTGGAATGGCCCAACTCTTTTGACAGCGCATTTCTTGCAGCTATTGCACCCAAAACAGGAATGAATCATTGACAGCACAACCCAACGACTGTTAACCTCCGAACACGCAAAAGGCAGTGGTCTTGGTGCTGGAATCGTTCTGTCGGGATGCGAACGGCTGTTAGCTATTGGTTTTGGACCCGTCGAAGCGATCCAGCCGATTTTTCCGACTGACAGTTCCAAAGGCCTGGCCACAAAAATGGGCGACGCGGGTACAAAGGGGCGGACGTACCGAGGCAAGGCCTTCCCGCTGCTGGTTTGGGATTGGGTGCGGGCCTCGGACAGGGAAAAGCCGGACGTGGATTGGCCAGAAAACAAACGGGCGGGCGTTCTGGAGCCTGTAGAAAACAGCATGGTTAACAAGATGGAGTCATGTGTTCCCTCACTTCCTGAGTTGAACTTCGTATCTTTGGGGAAGACCATTTTAGTCGTAAATCCAAGTTTGGTTACATATTTCGGGCCACTCGGGAAGTGACTTTCACATTCAGATCATGTGATAGAACCTTCGTTGGAGCCTGGAGCCTTTGGTGTGAGAGAATGCCGAATATCTTTCACTCAACCTGCACCAATTGGCTTGGTCCCCAATTGGCTGCCCCAATTGGCTGCTTGCTCTACAAAGCATTCTAAGAAGCAACTGGAATTAAGGAGCAATTTCAGGACTCCTTAGGGAGCCGGTTTTGTTTGGGACACATGTTGGGGATCTTGGTTTTTCAGGGTCCTCTTTTGTTGTCTTTTGTGACAAGGATATTCTTGAGTTCAGTGTCGGAAGCACGAGGACATTTGCCGTCAAAATCAGATCTGTTTTGTAAGACGTGTGTGCTGATGCTGCAAGTGTGCTCATGTTAGCTTTGCAGTTCAAATGCTCAACTCAGCACACAGTTTGGTGCAGGGGAGTCAAAACTCGGCCTGGTCACGCTTTCCCTTTGCGGCGAGGGTGGGTCAAGGCTTCGAGCGTGTTTCAACCGCTGCTGAACCAACTTCCTTTTGCTTTCCCTGAGGGTGCCCCAGATTGGTTGACATGTATAGCTTACGTGTCCAATTGGCTGCGGGTCAAGACCCTGGCAACCCCTACCCCCCAGATTCCCTTTGAAAAATTGCCAAACAAAACCCATACCCACTTCATGGCATGTAGTTGGATTTCAAGAGACTCGATTTGTCCACCAACCAGAAAGCAACTCGCAAACTCGTCCATGTGTACTGCAACAAGCTCACGGCAGGCTTGTGTTGACAGAAACTCCAACTATCTCCATTTGCTTTGGCTCGTGGAATTGTGGCTGGTGGTCAACTCCTCCAATGAGATTTGGGTTGGTAACCAGTGGTAAATGCTGTGAACATTTGTTCAACCAAAGGCAATGGCAGTTGGCTTAGTGAGCATGCATAAAACCCAAGCGTCGCGCCGTAAATGTCCCAAATGTCAGCGACATCCTCAAGACACCGTTGGTTTTGAGAGGTGTGACAGTGTGTCTCGTCGGATGTCCGGTGTCATTGTGAACTGAAACCCTGGCAAGCCTTGCGATCAGATGGCCAGTTGGCCCATCAAATTTCATATTGGAATGCCATGGTAGCGTGTGCATTGCCAATCCTTGGTGGTTCCCAGCCATCCTCTTACGTTCTTAGCTTTTTAGCGTTTCGTGGGGATGTCCATTTAACCCACAAAAAGTTAAGCTTGTAGCGGGGGATCATGGGGGATCTGAGGACAGCCCAGAATCATGAAGCTGTAGTGTTGCTTCTTGGGCGAACGGTCGCCGTGTTCGCCTTATCAGTAGGCACGCATTCGAAAGGGGCCGCAGTCGCCATGCGTGGTCTCCCTCCAGGACGATACCTTGATGTGCAGCTCAGCCCTGAACACCGGCTGCTTTGCGCCTGGTGCCCAGTAAAAATGTGTCTTTTGCCTTGCGCGCAATGCGCAAAACATGGCCTAAGATTCTCCCAAACGAAATTCGAAATGCCTTCTGATCTGGGCTGTTCATGTCAACTTTGGAGTTCGCACTCCTTGTGCCCAACTGTCATGAGTTTGGTTTTGTTTTTAATGTGGTACCTGACTTTTGCTCAATCTTGCAATTCTAGTGCTTTGACTTCATGAACTCCCATGAACCACATTCGCTACGCTTTCGAGTGCCTCGATGGGTTTGCGGGGAAGGGGCAACTCTTTGGTTTACAGGCAGCATGTAAAGGCTGTGTAAACATGTCGCGGTCAAAACGCGCTGGTGGTTTTGTCGCTGACATCCTTGTCTTGAGCTCGGGAGTGTTTAGCTTAGTTCTTTGTGTCCTTTTATATAGATATAGCTTAGTTCTTTGTGTCCTTTTGTTTATATTTTATATAGATCTTTCTGGGTGAGAGACCTCCACGAAAACAAGGGGGATGCACAGTTAGTTGCTAAACATGTTGCTCTCCCTGCCCTCAAAATAATGTTGCAGGCGAGTGGTTCTCGACTCCGACGCCTCAGGTCTATGTCGTATTTTTTGTTTTTCCCCAACAGCTGAAAGCTTTGGGGTCTCAGTCCAGATAGGCTCCGGGGTGGTCCAGGGCGACCCTGAGGTGAGGTTCCACGAGGGTTCCACCAGGGTTCTGCGAGGTTCTGCGAGGGCTGCGGGTTGGTCGCCACCGCATGCTGTTGGGGATATCACCTGAGCTTTTTTTTGGGGGGGGGAATATCATTTCAGGTTGTAGTCTGCTTTTCCATTTGCCCGGATTCCATTTGGGCACATTTCGAGCCACACCCAGTTCATCGATCAAGCGCGACCACTCCGAGCGAGGTTTCACCAAGCACACCAAAGCACACCATGCGAGACACGGGTGGTTGTCTGGAAATCGGAAATATGAGCTGCATAAACTCCCCGTTCTCCAAGACATTTTGCATGGGTGTTCCAACCGGTGTTTCCCGTAGACAAAGGGCATGTGAACAGAGCCACACTCAAAACCCGGGCAGATGAAGGTTCGTAAGGGACAATCCCAACCAATCCCAACCATAAGAAGCTGCGGCCGCCTTCTTAATTCTTTACATGGTCCTGGGCGGAGCATTTTTATACCAGGTTTTGATTATGACTCAGATGTTCTTAACAAAAGATGGATTGAATCACCCCGGAGTCGGTCAGACTTGTTGGGCTGCGGAAAGTTGGGTCCTCGCTACGAGGGCCAAGCAGTT